CCCCTGCAGCAGTCGTTAATCACTGGGTTCTCCCGGGTGGCTACGGGGAGCCGGTAGCGACTTAGCAGCTTCCTCAGGAGCCGGTGCACAGACATGTACGCAGGGATCTCTTCTGCGGGTATCTGCAGGAAGGCCGCGCCATCCGGCCCCAGCTTGGCCAGCCAGCCCTTCTCCACGTTGCCTCTCTTCCTGCCCATGATGACCTGGAACTCAGCCAGGGTGGAGCGGAAGTGATAGGTCCTTATCCCTGCTTTGGGAGTACGAAAGGGCCCTGGATTGAGGCTTTGGCTTGTGATGCTGATGCCAAAGGGGTTGAGGAGGAGGTTCCCTGGGAACCGAGCCAAAGGGGACACTCCGGGGTTCTTGAAGGCCCACCACCAGGCTTGGGCTCCCACAAACAGACCCCCACCCTCTGCTACAAACTCCTGCAGCTCTTTGACCCCCACATCACTCACAGGTTCAAAGCAGTAGACACTTGCATCACTGGTCAGATTGGGCTCAATGCTGGCATCTATGCCCCCTACTGCAAGCAGGCCGCTCAGCGTCCTCAGTTCTGTCTGCACCACGATCTTGCCCCTGCGGCCCCCATCCAGCCAGCGAACGGCATTGAGCAGAAAGGGGCCCAGTTTACCAACAGTGAATAGTACCTTGTGGCCAGTCACAACCACGCGGCCCTTGCCATAGCGGGCAGCCGCTATAACACAGCCGTGGTAGGAATCTAACCCCAGGGGAAAGGCCAAAGCCCCGTGCACCAGCAGCTGGGATGGGAAACAATCCGAGTTGCTGATGTCCAGCTCTGATACGCCATGCAGGAGCTCCTCTCTGTCCTCGGAGAGATCATCTTCACAACTGCAAAAGACATGTTTCCTATAACAGGACGGGGCCTGCATAATGCTCTTCCAACAGTACCCCCCAAATAGCAACGTCAGCTTTACTACTGTGATCACTTTCAGCCTTACAGGAGAACATGGAGAACAAACTGGGCAGATCTGACCTCACTGGTGTCGAGTCTGTTTGAGGGAAGATGCAGGGACATTAATTCTCTCTGCTTATTCTCAGAGCACAGATTCTCCAAAGGAAGCCTCGAAGGAAGCTCTGCTGTGCTTACCTAATAATGTATCTTAAATATTCTGGATTTAAGTGTTTATTTCAGCCTTTTAAACATTATATAAATAGCTGAATGGGAAGTCATGCTTTCATACGTATGAGGAGGGAGTCTTGTTTATAAAGTTCATGCATCTCATTTTCTGCAAATAAAGTCAAGGGAGAGTTGAGCTTGTGGTGCCAGTAAAAAAAAAAGTGGGGCACTGGAGCTGAGTGGCCTCGACTTTGAGTTGAGGTTACTTGAACCCAGCAGGACTATCTACACCCAGCTTCCACCCACAGGAGTGATGCATATTCATGCTATAGGGTTTTTTTATGCACCATCTGTTCCTGTCTATGGGTAACAACCCCTGTAAAAGCTTGTGGTGCCAGTAAAAAAAAAAGTGGGGCACTGGAGCTGAGTGGCCTCGACTTTGAGTTGAGGTTACTTGAACCCAGCAGGACTATCTACAACCAGCTTCCACCCACAGGAGTGATGCATATTCATGCTATAGGGTTTTTCTATGCACCATCTGTTCCTGTCTATGGGTAACAACCCCTGTAAGATCTCAGACACCCATAACCCCCAAGTGAGAGATGTAGCCCTGGATACCTAGTGGGACCATTAGGGGGTAAGAGTTGGAGGGACCTCTATCTTGAGATCCTAGAGCTTGTTATGCCACTTTTGTTATACAGCTGTGGCAATTGTATGGTCAGAAGGTAACGGCACAGAAGCGCTGGAAGCCAGGGGTCAGGTAGAAAGCATATTTGCAGCATTTGTGTTGCATTCTCTGTGGTTGGGAGAACGCTAATTAACCAAAGAGGAAACTGTAGTCCTCTGAGCAGGTGCAGTCCTCTCCTGAAGATAACCACCACCTACTAGATGACTCTGCTCCCTGAAGCACTGACCATTAGGTCATTCAGCTAGCTCTTCTTGCTCAGATTCCAAGTTTGCCAAACTACCTTGTGATTATAATCTTGTTTCCATGATCATCTGCCTAAGGAAAGAAGTCATTGGCCAAGCCAATCAGAATGTTCTAGTTTTGTGACATTTATACTTTCTCAAGCAACATCTTGGACAAATCTATCTTTAATTTGGTGATTCTAAAGCTAAAACATTCATTTTGAAAATTTTTAGTACTTTAACTATGTATAAAATTAAATGGAAAATGTATTTAAATTCCTTTAAGGAGTTTCTAAATTTTATGCAATTAATTGTTTTGAAAATGAAGTCAGTGAAGAGGTGAATTTCTGTGTATTAAATTAATACACCAGCATTAAAGTTTACACACTAGCCTATTATGACAGGATGAGCAATACTGAATGTGCAAAGTTGAGACGCAGACACTGAATCACCAGAACTTCACCTGGACGATGAGCCTGGGGGAGGCCCTGCTCACGCTGACCCAGGGGGGCATCCTCAGAGACATATGCCTGCTGTTTCCAATAATCATGGCTTACATGCAAATAATTGTTTCATAACTTGAAAAAATCTGAATTGGGTTTTTTACTTCTGTTTCTTATTCTCTTTAAAGGAAACAAGTCATTAAAATAAGAATAAATCCATGATAGCACTGGATTTTGAGAAGGGTGCAGTCAACAAACTGGGACAGTGAGGTATTCATAGGAAATATAAATCAGATGGAATCAGATTGATCAGAAACTCCATGAAAACAGAAGAATCTGTAACTGCATATATGTGGAGAAGACCAAGAAAACAAAAGTAACAGGCATTACCATCTGCCTTGAGAAAATGACTTCTCTGAGAAATACCAGGAATCAGTAATGATCAATTTATATAATTTCAGTGCCATTTAACATTTAAATAAACAAGAATCACCAAATATTTGATGTAAATTAACAGCATGAAAGAGAAGCACCAAACAATGAGAAAACCAACTCCCAAGGAAATAACAGTGATAATGGAGAAGAAAGTCCTAAATAAATACTGTACATCATTTGAGAGTTTTAAGATGATATATTCTCTCTCAAAAGCAAAATGGGACAGGTTGCTACCAAAAGTTACTAATTAAAATGAGAATATAATCACCACACATATAATCTCAATTTTAAATACATGAGCAAAACATAAGTCTTGATGAAGATGGAGACTGTCAATAAGTCAACAAGAAAATGGAGTCAAGTGATTCTCCCAGAGCAGTGGTGAAGGAAAAAAAGATAAACATTAGCAGAAATAAGTTAAGAAATAATGAAGAAAAGATCAGAAGATTTAACATCTAGCAAGCAGGTGTTCCAAAAGCAGAGAACAAAGTAGAAAGACACATAAAATTATATGACAATTTACTTGTACAGAAAAACCAGATTTGAGTTTTCTTAGAATGAAATGGTTATCTGAATGCAAAGCGGCGTAAATGAAATGAAGTACAGTATCTAGTCGATGACTGGTAATGACCTTCAAAAAAGAAATGAAAGAGAAGAAAAATCCTTAAAGGCTGACAAGAAGAAAAAAAACAGACAAATTACTTCTGAAGAAATAAGTGAAACAAGTACCCTAAAAGTAGTATTTTACAGTAGTGAAAATACTCTCTACGATACACAGCTGCGTAAGACTTATCACTGGGACATGGGAATTCTGAAACAGTGTCAAAAGGGCTTATAAAATTTACCACTCATGAAAATTTTCCCAAAAAAGTTACTTGAGGTTATGCTGTATATCTACAGGAGCAAAAATAAACACAATAGGGGAACAAATTGATTACATTAAACAGTAGTGGGCCAGTATGATTTATAACTGATGCTGAAGACCTGATAAAGGCCCTGAGACACGTAATGCAATTGATAAGAAGTATTTCCAAACTAGTAGAGCCATGGAGTTAAAGAGAAAGTAAGGAAAAAAATAAAACTCAGGCAAAACCAAATTGGAACCAAAATATCATATGATTTCAACAAAACATGGGTGGTATGGGGTGAGCATGGACAGCATGAGAATGAGATAAATGGAGTTCTTGCTTTGAATGTAGAGGTAGATTACGAAAACTATTAATTCTCAACTCAAACATAAAAATATCAGTTAATTGAAAAATAAAGGTAATGATGAACATGGTTATTAGTATATAATAAAGGAGGCATCTTATATTACTGGGAAAAGATATTTTCATAAATGCTGTTGGCATAACTGGATAGTCATTTGGGAAGAGATAAACTGGTCCTCTACCTCACACAATGCATACAAAAGAGATTCCAAATGCATCAGAGATATACATTTAAAAAACGAAACCACACAAATACTAAAAGAAACCAAGAGTGAAATATTTCATGATCGGGATGTGAGGAAAGGCTTTCTAACTATGACTCAAAATCAGATACAAAAATAGAAAAGATTAATGAAGTCAGCTATGCTAACATTTTTGAATGGGTAATAACCCTCTATTGGATGTGTTTTGCAAATATTTTCTCCTAGCCTGTGGCCTGCCTTCTCATTCTCTTGATCCTGTCTTTTGCAGAGCAGTTTTTAATTTCCGTGAAGTCCAGCCTATTGGTTATTTCATTCATGGAACCTTGGTGTTTTATCTAAAAAGTCATAGCTATGTTCAAGGTCATCTAGGTTTTCTCATGTTCTTTTCTAGGAGCTTTATAGTTTTGTGTTTTACATTTAAGTCTGTGATCCATGTTGAGTTGGTTTTTGTGAAGGCTGAGGTCTGTGCTTAGATTCATTTCCTTGTATGTGGATGTGCAGTTCTAGCGCCATTTTTGAAAAGACTTTTTGCTCTATTGTATTGCCTTTTGCTTCTTTGTCAAAGATTGGTTGACTGTATTTAAATGGGCCTGTTTCTGGTCTCCATTCTGCTCAGTTGGTCTGTTTGTCTTTCACCAGTTCTACCCCTGTGATTGCTGTGGTTGTACAGTAAGTCTTGAAGCTGGGTAGTGTCAGTCTTCCAGTTAGTTGTGCTCTCCTACAATATTGTGTCGAACATGCCAATTTCAAAAGATCAAATTCATTGACATGATAAAATTCAGCCATTTAAGCATACATCTTGATGAGTTTTTGCTATATTAAATCCTTGTGCAATCACAATAAAAAACACAACATTTCTGTCACCACAGAAAGCCGCCTTTTCCCCCATTCCAGTCAATCCAGCTCTCAGGGAACCATGGATGTGCTTGATTTCAGTACAGATTAGATTTTCCTTTTCTAAAGTTTCAGATAAATGTGCTTGTAATGTATGTACTTGTGTGTTTGGCTTCTTTCACTTAGAATAGTTTTTTTTTTTCGAGTCACTCATATTGTTGAGCCCATTCATCCCTTTTATTGCTGAGTGGTATGCTCCTGGGTGGGTATACCAGCATTTTGTTTATACATTCATCTGCTGATGGGTATTTCAGTAGCTTCCATTTTGGAGTTTGCTGCAATGAACATTCATCTACAGGTTTTTGTGTGGATGTTTTCATTTCTTTTAGACACTTAGAGATGAAGTGGCTGAGTGGTATGTAAGTGCAAATGGCATTACAAGAAATAGCCAAACTGTTTTCCAAAATGGTTTATGCAATTTTACATTCCCAACAGCAATGTATGAGAGTTTCAGTTGCTCTACATTCTTGCCAACACTTGGTTTGTGAGTCTTTTTAATTTTAGCCATTCGAGTTGGGGTGTCTAATTGTGATTTTAATTTTAATTTCTCTGATGACTAATAATGTTGAAAATCTTTTCATGGGCTGATTGACCTTTCTTATGTCATCTTCTATGAAGTGTGTTAAAATATTTTACCCTTTTATCTGTTTTTTTTTTACTGAGATGTCTTTTTCTTGGGATTTTAAGAGTCCTCTCTGTATTCTGAAAGCATGTCCGTTGTCAGATATAAGTATGGCAAATACTTTTCCCAAGCTGTGGCTTGCCTTTTTGTTTTCTTAATGCTGTCTGTTGAACTGTATAAATTACTTAAACTTTTTTTTTAAAAAAAAAAAATTAAAAAAAATTTACAAATAAAGATAAAAAAAATTTTAAAAACAAATAAAGGAAAAATTAACAAAAAAAAAAAAAAAAAAAATTTAAAATAAAAAAAAATTAAAAAAATAATAAAATTTAAAATTTTTTTTTGCAGATCTATTTTTAATTATTTGTTTTGTTTGGAGTTAGATAAATGTCAAGATGCACTTTTTTCCTATAAGGGTACAATGTTGTTCAGGACCATATGTTGAAAAGATTCTCTATTCCTCACATAATAAAAATATTCAGTGTTATGATCAGTCAACATGGTGTATTTCTCCATTTCTTTTATTTAATTTCTCCCAGTGATGTTTTGTAGTTTTCAGCACACAGGTCTTCTAACATATTTTATTAAATTTATCTGTTAATATTTTGTAATAATCTTGAATTCACAAGAATATTTGTATATAATATCCCTGCACTATCTTTCAAATTAAAGGGGACATATGAAATCAACTTGTAATGTTTGTCAATTCAGGTTTCAAAGGGGTGTTTTCAAGCCAAGGAATTTGGAGCATGTGGACGTTTTAAGAGCATGTCCGTTTGTGCAACATTCTTTCTACGCATCTCTGATGATGTTGTGAGGATCGCTGTAGACTGAAATCCACAGTCTCAATGGAGTGACAGCTAATTGGGGAGAAGGACCTTCTATTCCAACACTTTCTTTATACAGGGAAAAAAAGACTTCCAAGGACATGGTAAGGTCACACTACAGTTACTGGCAGGAGATTCTGGGTTTCAAGGTTCTACTGAACCACAGTGTGGCAGCCCCCTTCCTACAACAGTTACTTGGGTTTTGCTATTTCTTCTGGGTCTGGTTATTGAAGACGTTTCTGTACTTCTAATTCTCAGATCTTTGGAAGTCATTTTTATGAAATAAAAAATAATGCCTGGGATATGGAATATAGTAAATGCTGACTGAATGAATGGATGAATGACCAAGACGGTTAGAACTCTTCAATAGAAACCTGAGATTTGAGTGAAAAGGAGACAAGGGCCCTCTTATCCAAAAGACAGAGTAGACACACTTCTGGTTGATTCTCCTGAAACCTACCTCAAATTGGTTATCTAATGATATGTTTAATCTGCATCAAATCCTTTATTGGTAAATCCAGTTCAGTCGCTAGTACCTGTTTTGTTAAATGTATAAAGAAGGTAAAATCAATCATGATGGTATTATGTCAGTTTGGTAGAGGAGGTAGGAAAAAATATGAGTTAAGATGTCAATACCTTATACAACTGAAACAACATATGCGATTTGGGGCAAGGCAGCATAGTGATGGGTGTGAATTTTCAATGGTTGGGAATGATACTCATGATACCATACACTTACATACCATTTTGTGGAGGCTGGATGTCAAAATAAAGTATTTTAGGTATTTTGGGCAGGTTTCTTAATTCACTGAATCCTTACAGCTACTCTGAAAGGTTGTCATCATTAGCCCCGCTTTAGAGATGAGGCTTAGAGAAGTTACCTGCTGCACAAGGTTACAGAGGAAGCAGCAGACAGCCTGGGAACTCACTCACATCTGCCTTTTCGGAAGTCTGTGCTTTTCCCAGGTTTTAGGAAATCTCTTACTAGAATCCCGAGTCCTGCACCAAGGATGCAAGGAGTTCATGAAAATGGACCCAGGGTTTGTTCAAGTGAAATACATAGTAGAAAGAAGGTGTGACTAGTTTTGCACACAAAGGGCAATAGCCACTGCTCTGACAGCTGGAGGTACAGCAGAGCCCCTAAGAATAAAGCTGAGGGGGGCCAGCAATTGCTCAGCGAAGTGACTACAGGCAGTTGGCTCATACAGACCATGTAGAGGTTGATGTGCTAAATGCAGATCATGATGCTTTCGAGGTGGGAAGTGAAGTCAGTGACTATGAGGCTCATGTCCAGATATATGGGAGATTCGAAAAGTAGATCATCTGGTTTTATTACTTAGGGTTTGATTTTCCTGATCATAAAAGTGGACCTCTTCTGATAAAAATCTGATTGATCTTGATAAGACCTGCAGGCAGTTTACTCTTTTAGAAAGTCAAGAGACTCCTAAGATTTATTTAGTATTTAATTTAGTAAGAAATGTGCAAGTAATAAGATTAAAGCTATCTTAATTCACATTCTCATGTTCAAATGAGGGTTTAAAAGTAAATAACAAGACATTTTGACAGAGGAACTAAATCCAAAGGGGTTCTCACTCTGAACCCCCCTCAGCCTACGGTGCAGGTGATCTTCCTTCTTGAATTCTAATACAAACATTTTGGTGTCTTGTATTGTCTAATATTTCTAAAATGCTTTGAAATATATTCTATATAATATTACCTATTACAACAAGAATGGAGAAAGATCTAAATGCTTAACAGTAGGAAAATGATTAAATAAATAAGAGCTAATATTAAAAAAACTGTAGGGTGAGGAGAGGGTTGTTTTCTCTTTTTCCATACTAATCTTAACATATTCATTTAATCACTATTTCATATATCACACATACCCTTTTACACCTTTCACTTTCCTCTCTTTACTGCATCTCAGTCAGTTAGCTCAGGAAAATCACTATTGCCATTGTCAATCCACCCATAGGTCAAAAAATGACCCACCTAATACATGCGTAATGCTGATACATCTATCTGTTTAAGCAAAGAGTTAGGAGATGTGATGCAGTCTTACCTAGTAAATAACCAATACTAATAAACCATAATCTCCACAAAAGATTCCATATACTTCTCTTATTTAGTCAAAATTTCCTTTAAGCATTAGCCTTCTAGTTGTTTCATGTGTGCACACACACGTATGCATCATATATACACACACATAATCCAACTGGCCCAAAATTCAGAATCATTGACGATGAGAGAGGAGTTAGGTATAGCTGAAGAATAAAGCAGTATTGTTTTGGTAGAGAAAAACATCTTTGGAGACAACTAAGGGGATTAGGCTGTTAAACGGAATTATGTCTAAGGCTTACCTTCCTGTTCCTTAGCCAAGTGGTCATTGGTAAGCTGATGTTTGATCAATCTGATCAATCACTGTGTGTCTGAGTAACTGTCTTTTGTCATTGCACATGTGAGAATGCAGCTGTGGGTTGCTCCAGGGAACCCCTGCCAGCAAGAGGCCCCAGCTCATTCCCTGTGTCCCTAAACTAACCCTGGTGTGCCTGCCCCACCCAATCCTACATTACTTTGTTCTCACTGGTGAGAAATACCAGTGCTCTTTGCTCCAAGGATGCTGAGTTTCAGTATACAATATAGGGTGTGCCCTGGTGCACCTTTTGTACTCCTGGGACTACTCCAGCTTCCAGTCTCCCTCCTTCCTCCGTCCAATCAGTCACTGTCCAACAAATGATTACTGAGTGCCTCCTAACCTGCTGTATGTCTAGCAGTGTATGAGGGGAAGGAGCACAACGTGACCAGAACAGGCTGGGCGGTACTCTCAAGGACCTTTACTTTCTGTAGCTTGTCTCTGCACCCTTGTCTCTGATGTCATTCTCCAACATCAGGTGTTTGGCCCCCAGAGATAAAATCCTCTCCTAACACCTGGATTTAGTACACACAACTTGTGGCATCTTGTCTTCTATCTCTTCTTCTGAATCCTCTAGTTCATACTTCCATCCTAATCCCTGGCTGGACATCAGAATTTTTCCCACAGCTCTCTAGACTTTGTCTTATGGGGTCCCCTGTGTCCATTTTCCTTTTCCTCACATTTCAGTTGAAAGCAAACTTCTGGATGAACCTTCCTGGATCAGCAATACCAACTCTGGGATTTGGCAATATATGTTGCTAAGCTAGATGCTAGGGGATATAATGGTCACTAAGAAGTCTCTCCCCTCAGAAAGCTAAGTGGACTGGTCTGAGGAGGCCACAGCAGCAGGCGCCTTGCACCTCCTGTGCCTCAGGGTATTTAAAAAATCTGGTTGATGGAGAATCCATGCCTGAATACCAAGATCTTTTTTATTAGCCTGGGGGCAGCCTAGAGACAAGAATCCTGTCTGCTCTTTAACCTAGGACCAAATCCCCACGGGGTCAGTGCACTCACCTAACTAAGACTGGGATCTTGGGCATCTTCTTAGAGACTTTAAAGAAACTTGTGTCCCCTTTGTTGTCAGTGAAGTACACTCCGGCCACACTGGTCACGAGGTTGCCTGGGAAAGTGAACAGAACCCTCTCCTCATCGCCCTGGTTGGCCCAGTCCCAGGCCTGGCCTCCGATGAGCAAGCCCCCTCCACGTTTCATAAACTTGACCAACTTTTCACTCATGGTTTCATTGTAGGCATCAATACAGTAAACCCCCAGGGAGTCTTTCACTTCTGGCTCAATCTTCACCTCCATGCCAGAGCCCTCAAGGATCTTGACTAGGGGCGCCAGAGACGGGTGTACACCAATGGGAGCCCCAGGGGAAGAACAAAGCCAGCCCACTGCGTTGAGGAGAAAGGGACCGAGCTGGGCTTCCACCAAGTAGTCCTCATGGGACACCACCACCAGGCGGCCTCGGCCGTAGGAGGAGGCAGCAATGAGGACCTGGCCCATGTCGTTCACCATCACCGGGAAGGAGGCCTCTCCAATAAGAAGCAGTTCACATGGGATGGCATCTTCAGGGACATCCCAGCTTGTCACTCCATTCATAAGGGCCTCAAAGGCAGCAGAGGGAGTCGCCATGGCTGGATTGACTTCTGCAAGGAGGAAAGCAAAGACTCAGTTTGGTGAAGAATGGACAAACAAATCCACAGACAAGCCAAGCAGTTTGTTCCTCCAGGAGCCGAGGCAATTCTTCCGATTCTGAAGATGGGACTGACACCGGAATGACCCAAGCATTCACAGGGTGCCAGTGTCTTCGGCTTAGGAGACCCCATTGTACCCTGTCCTGTCCTCTAAAACGTTTAGCTCATGGTCAAAGTAAGAGAGCTCGACACTTTTCTATCACAGAAGGAAACAAACAGAAGGGAATGAGGGAGGAATTGTGTCCAGAGAGGTATGTTGAGGTCCTAACCCCCAGCACCTGTGAGTGTGACCTTATTTGGAAACAGGGTCTTTGTAGACGTGATCAAGTCAAGGTGAGGTCACACTGGATTTGAGTGGACCCTAATCCAATGACCGGTGTCCTTTTTAGACAAGGACACTTGGACACAGATACAGATACAGAGCGGGGAATGTTATGAGAAGATGGATGCAGAGATTGGAATGACGAGTTCACAAATCAAGGTATGTCAAAGATTGCTGGCAAACACCAGAAGCTAAGAGAGAGGCATGGAACAGATTCTCTTTCACAACTTCCAGAAAGAACCAGCGTTGCCAACACCTGGATTTCAAACTTCTAAACCTCCCTGGAGCTGTGAGATAATAAACTGCTGTTGTTTTAAGCCACGCAGTTTGTGGTAATTTGTAACAGCAGCCAATGCAAATGAATACAGTGGTGCAGTCCGACCCTGACTCCACCCCGACTCAGCTCCAACATTGACCTCACTAATCGCAGCTCTCTGAGAACCCTGAATTTCAGTCTGAAAGCCTCAGTCCTCAGTGAAGGTTCTTTAGTCACAGTCACAGCTGGGTAAGAGGAAAGCAGAACTCTTGTGTGACTTGAATCCAGGTCCCACACAAGCAGAAGCAGAAAGTACACATTATGAAATGAGGGCAGATTCTTACTTGGGCCTGGACACAGAGGGAAAATGTGCGTATGCCTGTGGATATATACTTAGAAAAATCCTCTGTCTTTCCACCTGAACTCCCAGCTTAAGGGTGCTCTTCAGCCTCACCCCCACCACAGGCACTTTACTGAAGCAGTGCCTCCAAGGGCAGACGTGTTTCCATAATCAGGATGGCCAGGGCTTGTCATCCTCACTGACTATTCGGCCTCACTGGACAACGCTGCTGTCTTCATCCCCAAGGATCTCACACCAATAATGTTATGGCCTCCCCCAGCCTCCCCATCTACAACCTCTTGACCCACCTACTTTCTATCCTTCCCTTCCCTTCCCTTCCCTTCCCCTCTGAAAATGCATATATTCCTTACATCTTTATCTTTGGACTTTACCTCTTTTCTTTGTTTTCCTTGTCAGAGAATATGCTCATTCTCAAGGAAATAGGGCAAGGCCGTTACAGGCTCAGGTCTGGAGTTGGGCTGTCGGGGTCTGAATCTCAGCTCTGCTGCTTGTTACTAACTGTGAGATGAGGCAACTCATCTGACTTAGTTTCCTTAACCATTAAGAATGGATGACAGTTATCTACCATATGGTTGTCCTGAGGATTAAAGGAAGTACATAGATTAAATGCCTTTCAATTATTTATATAAATATATACACACGTAGATGCACATATAAATGCATATTTGGTTAAATGCACTAAATATGTGCACAATAGAGAATTCTTATAAAGTGAACAAAAACCTAACCTAAGTTAGATTTTAAAATTATTGGATTGAGCATTTAAAGATCCTGATATTGCAGTTTCTGTATTTCAGAGCCAGTACAAATACTAACATTCATTATTATGTTTAGTTTTCAAGTATTTCTATGGGCCCTTCAAACAAGTCCTCGGCATGGGCCCCGTGCCTTCCCCAGGCAGGGATGGAAAGGCCCTGGTCCTGATGCCACGGATCAAGTCAAGACTCCTACTCAACAAGCACTCTACCACTTGTAACAGTTTCTAAAACTAAAGAAGTCTTACATTCTTTCCCTCCTTTCTAGCTCCTATTACGTAAATTCTGTCAGCTCGATGTCCCTAGCTGTAAGAGACTAGGTCTACCTCAGAGAACTATGGAGGAGGTATCGATCAGCAAACAATCATTAATAAGAGCTCGTCTCTTCCCTGCTCTTCCAGATGTCCACAGATAACCAGAACATGAAACTGCACACAGTCACACTTGTGCCCCTTCTCCCTCCCAGCTGGTCATGTCCTGTCAGTGCCCTCATTCTGTGTCCTGTCACACTGCCATTAACCTAGTTCAGGTCCTTAATAACTCATTCCTCAACTAAACTGATCCAGTTTCTAAGTCACCAGTATCATATCACCTTTATTCTTCTAAAGCCACTGAAGGTGTTATTTCCCAGAGAGAAGTCCCATCCCAACCTTTGCCTTTGTCCGCAGGGGTAAACCTGCCGCCTCCACCCTGGGGTGTAAGGCCTCCAGGGCTGGTTGCTGCTTACCTTTTCTAGCCATATCTCCTGCCACCTAACCTCTCTGCAGCTTCCAAACACTTGGCATGCCTGGACAGGCCCTGCTTTCATTTCAGATTCTCTTTTGATTCACTTTCCATTCTGACCTCTCTCCCATATCTTTTTAATCTATGGAAATCCTAACCTAGGAGAAGATACCCACAGAAGAGGAAATTTAAATGGCCGATCAGTCTATGAGAGTATGCTCAATCTCAGTAGTCAGACAACTGGAAATATATGTATGTTGCTCATAGCTATTATAAATGATGAGTTAAATCTATTGTGCATCTACATAGAAAAATGCCCTAGATGTATTTTAAGTAAAAATGTCAAGTCAAATTTGTGTATGTAGGACACAAACCTATTTTTGTGTGAATAAGATCATAGTAATAATATTAGTGATAGTACTAGTAATTTTAGTAGTAGACAATACAGTGCCTACCAGGTTGCAAGCATTATTATAAGTGCTTTTACATTATTAAATCCTGATAGTAATCCTATGAGGTATGTACTATCACTATCCCCATTTTGTAGATGGGCAAAAAAAGTCAGAGAATTTGTTGCTTGTTAAAGTCACACAGGTGATAAGTGGTGGATCCAGGACTCAAACCCAGAGCCCACACTCCCAAGAGCTGGAACTATATAAGCCTGTGAAATACCAGAATTTTTATACATTAAAACTCTATGGAGGCCACATTTCACCTTATTAACACTGATCGCATTAGGAATGGAAGAGGTGAACAGTATTCTTTCTCTTTAAAGTCTGCATCCTTTGAATTGTTGTATGTACTACTACAGTGACAAGTAACTCAGGTAACACAAATAAAGTAAACACACGAAAGACCAGATTGCTCAGCTGGTCCTATCTCCCCTATCCTAAACTGTCTTCCTTCATCTCCCAGGAGGTTGTACATTTACCCACCATTAAATTGGGGTTCCACCTCTTCAGGGCTCCTTGAACTTTGCAGCTGGCTCTGTTTCTACCTTCACCAGCTATCAGTGACTCCAGCTCTGGACTTCTGAACCCAACTCTTCCCCTTTACGCCTGAATCTGTTTGTTCTCCTAGCAGGGTGAGCTCGGACGGACACAGCTGGGGGAATGCCCTTTACTTCTCTCCTAAAGTTCTTCATCCTTGCCTCTCCTTCCGTGGCTCCTGCTCTCTCTCCTCGGGGCCTCTTTCAGCTTGTCGCACCTCTAAAGCAGAAGGCACCCCAAGCACATATACCCTACCCCTACCACAGTGGCTCATGCCACCTACCTGGGGTGTCCCTTTAAGAGGCGCATTTGGAAGGGAAGGAGTGTAGTGGGCCTGTCTTGGCTATGGCACCATGCCCTGAATTATGATTTGATTTCAAATCCCCCAAGTAGGTAAGTGTGTGAGGTCAGGGGATATGTTTTAGTCTCTGGACTCTCCAGAGAATAAATAGGTACTCCACGGATGGCTGAGCAAGTGATAGGTGTGGGGGTAAGGGCAACCCACGATCACTTCTCCAGCAAACAGCTACCCCGGCCTTGGCAAACGACTCATCACAGACATCCACTTGACAGGCTTTCTTCTTCATGCTGTTCCCTTCCACAGACTCCTAGCTTCTTTTTCCTTATACATCCAACATCTTTCCCAATGTCCCTTGACTTCTAAGCTAGAATTAGAGCAGGTTCATCATCTTTTGCATTCTGTCCTACATATTTCTGGCTCAATCTTATTTATTTGATTTTCACTTAAAAATGGTTTAATTCATACATTAAAAGAGTATGTAATACATGTGGAAGGATACAGACAAAAAAATAAAATAAAACAATTTTAAAAATTCAACTCCCATATACCTGCCACCCAGCTTAAAAAGTAGACCACTCCCAATATCTTTGAAGGTCCTCTTGTGGCCCTTCCCAATCCTAAAAATGAGCAGGATTTTAAACTTTGCTTTTTCCATTTCCCTCTTCTGATCATACTACATTCCTTTCTAGATTCCTGCGTCCTCTGGGGCCCTCTTTCTCTTCCTCATATTTGCTAACTTCTCTCACAACATAACTCCAAGGAGAACAGTGTAATGGAGGGGCCTTGACCGGGACTGGAAACTGGGTTAAAAAAATAAAAATCCAGGTTATGCCTCTTACTAGCTGTTGATCAGCCTACCTCAGGGTGATCCTATCATATGGACAATATGGAAGACAGGACGTCCTTAACTCGAGTGGCTGTCAGCACTAAGCTCTGGTGTGGGGTCCCCCTCCCTCCACCTACCTCCCCCCTACTTGGCCCTCCTTGCTTCCCCAGGCCCAGGGCCAGTCCACAAAGAGCAAGTGGGTGACGTCAGAGGAGGAATGGAGAGGGGGACTGGGGTGGGGGAAGTCTATGAGGGGGAGGAAGCGAGCGGAGAGGAAAAACTCGGTGGGCAGGGAATTCTCCAGGCCTGCTGGCAAGGAGGGCCGGGTGGAGTGGGGGTACTCAGCCCACTGGCCCATCTTGCACTTACATTACGCACACACAGGCAAATCACACACACACACCCAACCTCCAGGGCGCCAGTGAGAGGGGCAAGGGAGCTCAGACCCAGGGACAGTGTTTGCAAAGATCAAAGGGCAGTAGGCCAGAAGCGATGCTCTTGTCACCAGCTACCTGAGTGACCCTGAGCAAGTCCTGCCTCCTCCCTGGACTACGGCATTCTCATCCGACAAAGCTGCGGATTAGATGATGTTTCTCCTTGTCAGGCCTGTGCGTGACTCGATGACACCCCGCAAACAAACATCAAATGTCAGAACCCGGTGAGGAGGGGCAATGCGGCAGGAGTGGCGCACAGCCGGAGCAGATAACAGTCACCCCCAGGGACACGGACACAGACTGCCAGGGATTCTGCCCAGATTGCGCACCCCGGCTCCGTGGCGCGCCGCCCTGCGTCCCCGGAGCTCCCTCCGCCTCCCGCACCGCCCGCAGACCCAGGCCGGTCCCATCGCGGACGACCCCTTCGGCGGCGGCGGGCCTCCCGAGAGGGCCACTCACCAGGTCGCCTGCAGCTGCGCCGGGGTAGCTGGAGGGGACAGGGCGGGCTGGAGAGGGCACGCCGGGCCGGCGGGGAAGGGGCTTCCTTGCACGCAGCGCCGCAGCGACCGAGCGGGCGGCGGGGGGAACGCGCGGGGGAGACGAGGGCTCCGCGAGGAGTCTCCGCCCCACTTCCTTCCGGGCCCAGCGCCAGCCAGAGGGGCGGCGCTTGGCCGGGGACAGCGCTTCTTTGTGTCGCCGGCGCTGTCGGCTCGGCATTGCGGCGGCCCCCGTCCTGGCAGTGTGGACTGCCGTTTTATGAGACACATAAACTTCCCTGACTATTCATTTGAAAGGAAAAGGTTGAACAAACTATAGGACACATTCTACAGAATGTCATTCAATTCTTAGGAAGAGCTTAGATCTCCATTTAGCTGGCGGGGGGGGGGGGGG